CAAAAAAACTTTGACATTCCTTTGGTAATTTTAAAAATTAAGTGATAAAAAATTATACTCACTTTCAGTATTGGAATTACCTATATAGAGTGTGACGGAAAGACCTAAAAACGAAATAACTTTTGTTCTAATCAATATTCTTTAATTTTTTTTTTCTATACCTAATTAATTGACTATTTCGTTACTCGTATAATATAACATTTTTTATTTTTACTTTCTAATACTTAGTCTACTTCCGGCCTTCATAACCTTCCAACAGTTTTCGCCGTCATCACCAAATCACTCCACTTGTCTCGATCCTGTATTCTATACTATCTTACTTCAATTCTGTGCCCCAAGGTCTTCCAAATATTTTTCTACGACATCTATATCTTTCGAAGACGACCTCTTGGCCTTTTTCCTTCCAATTTCTAATTTAGCACTATCTTGGTTACTGCATTTATATTTTATATTACGCCTCATTACATGCTTTGACACTGTATCTTTATATATATTTAAAATTTTTACAATGACAAAAAATAATGTTCATAAACTATTATAAAAAAAATGAATACTTGATACTATGACTGGATTTCGCTCTGCTGTACAGCAGGTTACAAGTGACTAGTGAACCAATGTATAATGGATTGTATTTAATTTGAATTCAATGATATAATATCATTGTATAAGAAAAACGATTCTGAGCCGAGATGGTTTATCAGTCTGTTTTGGATATTTTTTACTGCTATTAATTATTTTATCACGTAAGTTGAATTAATATGATAATATTATATTAAGCGTTAGAAATTAAAATCCCATTTTTAGTGGTTTTTCGTAATTTGTCGATTGTTTTTCCAGTGACATTAAATAACTATTGAGAAAATCGAAAAATGACCTTCATAAAGTACCATCTTGATCCAATTTTCTAAAAGATAAGGTACTATATGTTGAAATCAAATCACTCCTTCTGGTAGAAATTTTGTATATAGGATAAAAAAATAATAATAATAAACACCATTGTAAAACCACTAGCTTCCTCGCTCCACTCAGAATCTAAAATACAAATAACTAATGTTATACTATAAGTGTAGAATAGAGCAAGAGTCTGTATATTATATTTAAAAAAAAAAAAAGGAGGATAAGTGGGTACCATTCTGCTGTACTGCTAAACAAAGTAGTTGTCGAGTGTGTCATGGTAATGGATGTGTTGGATTTGAAATCAATAATAAATCGACAACGAATTTATATTGAAATGAAATTGTAATAAATTATAATGTTCAAATCAGGCACATTGACCCACGCTTATTTCAAATATAATATTATCATGGTATATAATTGTTGGACTCAAAATACTCAAAAATATCGATTAATATGTTTAACCTAGTACCTACCTACCTAACAGTTTTATAAAAATAATCTGCTACAAAATACCCCAAAATATACAGTAAAATAATGGAAGTTCTCATTTGAAAAATGAAATTTATATCAGCACAGGATAATCCTTAAATGGTATAAGAATACATGGTTTAATAAATGGATAAAATTCTAAAAATCAGAATTAGAATATACGTATAGTTAAAAAATATCCTGAAGTTACCATGCTTTGTGAATCACCGGGCAAAATATAGTATTCAAATTGATCAGTTTTTGTTCATATTTCTGTAATTTCATTACTTTAAATAATTATTGTATTTGACCTAATGTACAAAGAACAATCTAGATAACATTATGATAATGTAATTGTTTAATTCAAGTGTAACAGTCATCAATATTTTGTTTTGAACACAAATAATTAAACATGTCACATAAACAATAATATTATATAGAGGCATGGAGCACAAAGTCTCTAAAAAATTAATTATAAACTAACTCGCTGAATATAATATTTATCAGAAGCGGATATATGTCTCGCATGTGTTGTCTCCATTACACACATACGACATTTTCGTTCACTATTTTCAATAGGGTGCTGTCATTTTTGATTTTAGAGTGAATTGACCTATTATCAAACTTTTAGGTAACAATACATTATCTGTGTTCTCTCGTTGGTTTTTTACGATATTTAAATTTTTAAGTGAGTTATAAGCATTTTCAAACATTAATTTTTTACATACTGATAACTCACTTAAAAATTAAAATATCGTAAAAAACCAACGAGAGAACACAGATAATGTATTGTTACCTAAAAGTTTGATAATTGGTCAATTCACTCTAAAATCAAAAGTGACAGCACCCTATTGGAACTAGTGAACGAAAATTTGCTATATCATAGGTGTGTAAGACGGAGACAACTCATGCGGGTGCGACGTCCTCTTAAGTAGTTGAATTTAAGTAATACACACAATTATATTTCTTATTATTAATAATACATTTTAATTAATACATATTTTGTTTTTTATAAATTGAAAAGTTTAATTATTTTTATGATCTCTAATATGAGTGCGACGTCCTCTTAACTGTATCATAATAGTATTCGTTACCTAGTGAACATTTATTAAATTTTCATATCATATTCCAAATTGATGAACAATGAGGTACTTTTTTATAATTTTATCAGAAATTATTATTCTAGTCAATTCTGGAGTAAGAGATTTCAAGATTTTTCCAAATTTACCCCTAATAAGTTGAATTTGATTAATAAATAAAATAAATTTCCAATTAGTATTAGGTATACCAAATCAATTAAGACTTTTCGTGTAAACAAATATTTAGTTAAAACTCTATAATTAGATGTTCATATTCATTGTTATTTCTAACGGAAGTACTCAGGATGAGCTTTATAAGAGTTTTTTGAGAATTATTTTGACAAAAGGTCCAGAGATCTTGGAATAATATTATATTTTGTTTGAGTTTTCTCCGCTGTATAATGATACAAGAATTCGAAAGCCTGGCGTTGTCGAAGATTATATTTTAATATTATTTTTTTCGATCACCTGTTCTAATCGCTGATTTTAGGGAAATGATGAATACTTTTGATTATAGATAAATAATTATTAGAATTATTTTTATTCAATTTAGTATATATAATATAGTTTGTGTATGTCGCGCTTGTCTAAAATTTTTTTAAATCATTTTTCGTTAAATATGTGAATTAATATCACCGGTATTTATGACCATTTTTAGTCATAAAAGTATAAAACCATCATATTTAAATATTTTATTATTCGATGTATATTTTAATCATATATACCTATATAGATGCAATGACAAATTGTGATGGTAGGGTTTATTAAAACTTAAAAGTAATTTACAAAAATGTAAGCACACAATGTGATAATATATATAATATAATATATGTAGCAAAAAAATATACTGTTCACAAATATTATATTACATTATATTATACTGAACAATTATGATTTGTTAAATAACTACAAATTTAAAAATATATAATTATAAGAATATTTATTGATGGATTTAGTCTTAGGTACACTAGTTGAGTTAGTCAATAGCTTATGATAATATAATATGGAAAAATGTATATATTATAAATAGATTTTTTATGTTATTAATAAGCTTATTAAGAGGTATAACTTAATACATAAAAAAAATTAAAAATTCAAGTTCCAGCTTTCAAACACTTCTCAACGCATCAATTGAAAATATATACTTTCGGAATATTCAAATTTGATGGATTTTTTCTTAATCAAGGAGGAATTTTTGTTTTTTGGGACGGATTTGACTAGCCGAAAGATGAAAGTCACATTATTATAGTACCATTATAAAAATACACAATAGGAAGAATAAATACAGAACGAATAAAAGTCAATTACACTGTGTAATAATAAATATATCATATCATACTACAACAAAAAACTAATAAATAAATAATATAAAAGAGAGGAACAAAAAAAAGATGGTCAAGTTGCTCTGCTATACAGTAGATGTAGACTGTAGAGTGGGTCCATTACGATGTGTTAAATTTGATTTCAATGAAAAACGATTCTGAATATATTACTACAAATATATAATATTGCTATGCTATTATTGCTATTAAAGTAATTTAATCTACTATTATAATAATATGGTAATTATTTATGTAATTAATTTTGCAGGAAAACATGGTATTTAAAAATTTCCTTTTATGTATATAATATTATAATATAATAACATGGATACCTACTTTAAAAGTTTCAAGTACCCATGAATAATATTTTAAATGACAACAAAATAAAATACTAGTTTCTTTGTTTAAATATCTGATTTAGTTTAAATATTCACTTGAAATATCTATAAAAAAAAGTGTTTATTTAGATTTAGTAGATTTTTTGGTTACAGCATGAACTACTTATGAGAAACCTTTTATTAAATTTTCAATTCTCAACTATAGGTACAAATTGAATATTTTATACATTTTTAACTAGGTACAACATAATTCACAAATTTTTAAGTGTATTGACAGAGTGAAACAATTTTTTATTGACATAAATTAATAAAAATCTAAAATATTATGTTATGCCTATAAATAGCTTAAAAAGAGTAAAATATTTTGAACATTTTATCGTGTATGGCAAATAGTAAGTCATACAGTCACAGTTGATGGAAATGTAGTGTCTATAAGATTTTTAGTTATTACTAATTTCACCGAAAAAAAATCGATTTTGTCGAAAACTGTTTTTGTGTAAAAATGCAAGTATATCCTTAATTGTTCTTATGGTTTTCCTGACGCTAAAGAAAACTAATTTCAATTTTCAATTTTCATCTCCCAAAAAGTACTAACAAGGTTCACTTTTCCAACAGAATAGATGCTAATAATTTGAAAATCAAAACATTATTTCAACTACCTACTTTAGTATAGAAGAAGTTAGTATACAGAGACACAAGAACATCACACATCATTGTAAAATCAATACATTTATCCCTCTACTCAGAATCTAAAATATAATGAAGTAAAATTGATATTGTATAGTTTTAAAATCATATAATAATCATTAAAATTATTATTTAATGACCTGGACTAAGAAGAATTTGCCAAAAATGTCTAAAATTAAAGTGATTTTATTATTTTTAAAAACTATTCACTATCGTTTGATTTTAATATTAAACACACTTAGGGTTGATGACAAATTTTTGAATTCTATCAAATTTTTCTTCAGACTAATGTTATTTGCCGTTAATATAACATTCTTCAATGATGGCCAACAAACTAACGGAATCACCGAAGAATTGTGAGCTATCAAATTGTTCGACAAATTTATTGTGTTTAGACTGACAAATGGAATATGATGTACCTGATAAATTATCTCTGAAAAATTTTAAATCATAATTATCACAATAAAATTGATTAAAAATTAAATTGAAGAAAGAAAAAATGTATACATAAATATTTTTTTTTACTTTTTGTATCATCACTTTTGTTGTTTTCTATGTCCTCTTCGTCCTGATAAGCTTCTGTTTTATTGTCGCCATTTGAATTATCAGCTTCCTTTAAAAACGCAAAACACATACCTAGTGGTTGAGTTTCAAATCCAATCCCAAATATTTACCAAATAAAATTTATATTATATTATGATTTATGACTAGTGCTCGGATATCAATACAAAGTGAATTTTGTTATGCGGAGGGGAAGTCTTGAACAATGTATCCAAAAGTACATAATTTTATTCATATATAACAGATACTTTTAATTTTTAAATATGATACTTATATTTTGCATGCCTTAGCTTTTCTAGGTTATTTTCCTAGCATACTTAAACATTTTTATAGTGTTGAGTTTAAATGAAGGTACCTAATTCAAAATATAATATCTCGAAAAATGTTGTTAGGTTAACGTAGAATTTAACATAATTTAACGTCATTTTAATTTTGTATTTTTGTATGTTTTGCATGGTTAATAACTTAATACTGCCCCACAATTATGTTGTTGATCGATGAAAACTATAAATACTAAATAGTAATAAAATGTAAATGCTTTAAATATGCCTTTTGATTTTGATCATAAGAATTCCGATATTTTTTTTGGTAAACTTAATAATCTAAAATGCTTAATCATAACTTAAAATTAAGTACCTTTTTATAGTAATAACGATAGTAATAAATAATGATATAGGTATTAATATGTAAATATCCACCTGTTTCGCTATCAAATAGGGTATATACGATATTCGGTTATTGCTCATGATCAATTCTTGCAAATTGTGCAGAGTCGACAACATATAGAGCGTCCTGGGACATGACAGGTAATTGTCGCTCAAGTCTAGAAGTTTAAGCGACAAGAAGCAATGACAATTTGTAATGCTCTCGGGGATAACCGTCAGATTATTGGCCAACATATAAAGTTCTTCTAGTTTTGACATAGACAAGCGGTATATGTCGTCTGGATTCAGTTGGTTTTCTGAAACGTCTAGACGGATTAATGTTTCTGCCAAATCACCGTCAATACTGAAGAAAATTTATATTTTAGTAGGATGTTAAAAGTTATTCAAATATATCCGATTAAAAAAAGGTTTAATACATTTAAGCGTTATAGTCAACATAAAATGGCTCAAATAGATGCTGTTTGTTCAAAGAAAATGTACATTATATCTATAACATTTATTCGTTATTAACATTATAATAATTATTGGAATGCTACAATTTTAAACATCGATCTAAAAAATTATAATACAGCGATCAAATAAATTTTTCGTTGAAAAATTATGCATTGACTGCGAAACTATTACGTCTCTATTTTGAATATATTTTAATAGACATTTTTAACTAACTTTTAAATATTGTTTATACGAATAATTTGTTCTATATATAAAACGGCTGTTGTAGGTTTTCGAGAGCGAAATGCACTACCACGACTGGTATTATATAATCTTAATAGGAAAATCAAAAGAAATAACCATAATCACGTACGGTCTGACGGATTTCAAACGGTTGCGACGCAAGCTCAGTCGCCGGACAGACTTGAACGTGTGAAACGACTCCAGTCGCAGAAGATTGTCGTCCGCGTTCACGGTGCTCACCCGATCGAACGGTCCGCCGCCGTCGAAACGTTCGCCTTCCACGTGCAAGTATCCACCACCCGAAATGTCCAGAAATCCTTCCGCCGAGCCCGGTCTGACCGTCACGTTTCCGGTCGTGAATCTCGTGCTGACGCTACTTTCATCACTGCATCCACGATCCTGGACCGAGAGAAAGACACCGGTTTATCAAAGCAATTTTGATCCACATGACAATATATTTCCCCTCGAAATCCTGAGCACACGCACACACGCACACACGCACGCATCGCGCAGCACGCCCTTCACAGCAGTGTTGGACAAAAACAATGCTACGATTAACCGATGATTACAATTTATACGGATTTTACCTATATGACTAAATATTCATGAATTCCAATAAATATACACTCGTTGGATTTGGAGTAGATCCCTCATAGCCCCCATTTTTTAGTGCCAAATTCCCCACCCCACGGCCAACTTTTAATTAATTTGTATATTCTACCCCATAAAGAATCCTGAGAACGCCACTGACTTTACTGCACACCACTGTCGCTAACCTAACCTAACCTAACCGACTAGTACGCAAAAACGATTGAGTATCGAACGGCACGACGACATCGTGTCAAATCTCATTACTTCTGGTCCGAAATTCGTCACTTTTCAGTATAGGTTCCAAAAGATTACGAGGTCGGCTCGCCAAGGTAAGACACCTATATATACTAATAGCTAAATATCCAGGCTTTGCCCGTGTGCAGTTTTTTTTTTTTTTTGTGGCAAATCCTATATAGTATAAATAAGTATAATATATACCTTAAATAGGTGTATCTCTGTTTTAGTGTACCTACCTCAGTTCAAGGACAAATCAGCGTCAGTGTACCTACTACCTAGCTTTGTGAAATGTTTTCCAAGTCGTGATTGAATTTAATACTTGGCATATTTTTAACGTGGTTCAAAATAATTACTTTCATAACTTTTATCTAAAAAACAATCTCTGAAAATTTCGTCAAATTCAATTGAGTAGTTTTTGGGCTTATAAGCTCGCATATACATTTGGTTTTAAGATATTGTTTGTTTATCCGATGAGGCAATAAGCGCGATGATTTAAGACATGATTGAACCTGATCTGTCCGGGTAACCAATGGCGTTACAATAAATTGCAAAATAATTATATACAAAACAAAGGTTCAATTTAAAAACTGTAAAAAACTTAATTTAATTTATACTTAAACCCATTTGTTAAAGATATTATATAGGTAATGGTTAGATAATGGAATATGAATTCCAATAGAGTATGAGTTTTATAGAACTTAAATAATAATACATTACGATAATATGATGATAATACTAAATCTCGTAGGTACTTATATCAAAATTTGATGTGCTTTCCAGGATTTTATATTTTAAACCCGTAGAGATAAAAGTAATGGACGGAACACGCCTTTTTATAAGTCCTCGACGGGGTTGCGGTCTTTTTTGGTAGATAAGAAAAACTATACGGCCGCATAACCGCATGGTAAAGATATGGACAGACAACACGGCGCTGCAGTTTTTACAGCATATAAATGCTCTAACAATGGACACAATGGAATTTGTACCCGCAAAGTAATCGCAATTAATCCCCGTGTGATAGATAAGATCGGATGACCCATCCATTACTTTATTATCTGTGTCCAAGCCGAGGACATTTTCGTGTAGCAAATGAGAGATGTAGGTACTGCACCAAAGTTTCGTTTTGTGTAGTAGACGCTAAAGATTATAAAAACGAGTTTCCCACAAGGTATTACTATTATACAGATTAATTCAGAAAGCATACACATTCCCATTTTCGCCTCTAGTCAGTGGCGTAGCTGGGGGGGAGGGGCGTTTAAACACCCCCATTGACCTTTTTCTCCTTAATAAAAGTATTGTTTGTAGGGTTTGGGACTGCTCGCATTATTTTAGATAAGTTATAAATTTGTCTTATGAAATTTTTAAAATGTCTGATCAAATAAAGTGTGAATTTGCATATTTTAGGAAAAGTGTACATTTGAGCGATTTTTCGCATATTTATGCATATTTTGCATTTTTCTAACTTAAATGTAGGTACATACAATTGTCGGGAAAAATCATATTCGGATAACATTGAAAAATATCTTTAAAAATATTATGTTTGGTTAAGTACAATAGGCTCTAATTTTGAGATTTAGGGAGGCCCAAGCCTAAAACCATACTGTTTTAAAATTGAATTAAAAAAATTTAGTAAATGATTGGGAGGGCTGTTAAAGTTGTTGGTGGAACTTGGTTATACGGTTTGCCCTATTTTCGCATAATTATGGTATGTAAGATTTTATAAGTCTCTTTGTGACAAGACTGTGTTAAAACTATAATTGACATCTACATTCTAGATTGTACGAAGAAATGAAAATCAGTAGATACGTGTTCGTTTATCACGGTGTTCGCATTTACGTTATTCGTTATTACATATTTATTAACCTAGTATTGTATGCCAGTATTTTTAAAAATAAAGTTATTTTATTTCACAATAGTTTAAAAATGTCCAAAACATGCAATAGTGTACTCCGTCCATCACATTATCATATATATTTATCAATATACCTACCTATATTAAAATTAGTAAACCCGTGTATAAATTATTTATGTTAATATACCTACTTATTTTTTAGTTTTTTTATTACCAAAATAAATTGTAGTATGTTTTATGAATTTTTCAAAAATAATATAAAAATGTAGCTGTATATGTTTAAGAATATTTTGACAACTTTGACAGCATCATATTTCGATAATATTTAGTGCAACAAGTCAAGTCCCAAACCCTAAATTTATTTATATACGAAAACTGTAAAAACTTGGTTTTAATCTATAGTTAAACACCCCCCATTTCATTATCCTGAATACGCCACTGCCTCTAGTAATACATTAATTTTATTCAAACTATGATTTTTGAAATTTTTAAAATATATATACTTTAAAGTTTAATACCATATTTTCAATTTCTTGGAATTTTTTTAAGCTACCTAAGGAGTATCCGTGTTTATACCTAATATTCAGGAATATTTTTTCTGAAAACGATGACATATTAAAATAAAAATTTCCAACTAAAAGTTTTTGAGTTATTTAACTTTGTGTAGGTAGCTTCTAAGAGTATAGGTTCACCATAATGATGAATTTGGTAATGTTTACGATAGTGTTTCAATGTGGATATTTTACATTATATTTATATTTTATATTGATATTATTTATTATTAATACGGTAGCCGGTAAGTTGAATTAATATTATAAAACTACAACAAAATAACTAAACTCGTTATACTTAGTTATTTAATATGCAATTTCCTCCAAATTTTAACATAAAATAACTATAAAATAAAACTGTGTTTTTATATTTTAGAGATTTTTTGGTTACAGAATAACCTACTTACGTGGAACGTTGTTGTAAGTTTTCAATCATTAGCTATAAAAGTTGAACATTTTATAAATTTTTAACTACAAACCCATTTTTAAATTTTAAATTTGATAAATGTTGATAAAAATCAAACTTTAAATGCTTATAAAAAAAAATTGTGCATATGTATTTTTAATATTTTTCAACTGCTATTAATTAAGCAATATATCAGGAGCCTTGTATTAAATATTTTCAAGCTTTTTGGCCCAACAAATAACATTTTATTGTTATTTATAGAAAAAAAAATTTAAAAAATTTGAAATTGAAATTGTCCTTTAACAGCTCAAAACTAATCAAAATATTTTGAAAATGTTATCAACTATAGAAATTGATAAAATAAACGACCAGTGAAAATTTCAAGTATATACGGGCATTTGTTTTAGAGTTACACCAAAAACCAAAATTTATTTTGTCAAATGTTTTTTGTTTTTCCCGGGGCTTTTGAACACTAATGGGAATATGGGATTTTCCTCCCCAAGGCACGACCTAAATTCACTTTACCATTTAACAAGATACTGAAGTTGAAAATTGAAACATTACTTCGACTACTACTAGTGTTCACACTACACAATCACACAAAAAAAACAACAGATCATTGTAATATATCAATACATATTCATCGCTTCGTTCAGAATCTAAAACCATAGCATGGTAAGTACCTACTCGATATTTTTCCTCTACAAGGAAAATCTATGAATTGTAAATATGTTTATTGTCTCACCTGCACCGAAAGTTTGGTTTTCGATATCGGTTGAAGCGTTCGAAAGCGTCCTTTTTCCGTCCAGCGGGCGGAAAAGTGGGAATCCCTAATAGTGCCGGGCGGTAAAGTGGAAATTCCAAAAAGTGCCAGGCGGTAAAGTGGAAATCCCCAAAACGGCCGGGCGCACATATCGTTATAGGTGTGACAAAAAAATAGTAGGTATGTGTGGCTCGATCAGGAAGGCCATTTCAGTCTTGTGCGAAATGCAACTGAAATGGCTCACTTGCCGCCCTTGCCACACAATATACTATTATGCCATGACAACGAAAATCTTACGAAAAATCATTCAGAAATAAAAACGTGTATCCTAATCAAAAACATATCTATGTTACAACTGACGTCTGAATTAGGTATACAATACAATTTTGCAAGCGAAGCTGTACAACAATATCAGTGACTATTCTGTACCTATCTATTTATTGTTTTTTTTTTTTTTTTTTTTTTTTTTTTTTTTTTTTATTAGGGTTGAGGCTTCGACAGCAAAGATCCTGTGGTACTGTAGGGGTGGAACTGTAGGTTGTTAACACGTGTGTGGGTTTCGGCAGAATTTTCGATTTGGGCACCCGTAGGTATCTGCCATTCCCGTGTGGGGGATGGCGGCATTTGTTCTCAGGACACCGTGACTTGCCCGAAGAAAAATGCCGCCCGTGACCACGGGATCGAACCAGCGCCGGCAGCGTCGCAACCGACGCCTTAGACCGCTCGGCCACTCCGTCCCCCTATTTATTGTATAATATATTTAATTAACTTTACTATCACGATTCACGATGTTTAACTTAATGCAGGCATTATTATGTTCTTAGCCAACTTTCAAAAACACATAGCATACCTACGTTATTTTCTCTTGAAACTTATTTTAATGGGTCAGTGTAACTAATGGAAATATATAGAACACAAATTGAGTAATTACAAATACTGAAATACGAACCTGTTTCGAAGACTTATCATTTTCTTTTTGTAAATCTTCGAACGATTCTGTAACCAATACCCAGTGTCCGACTAATGATTTGCTTTTATACTGTTCTAATTGGGAACCTAATAATATCACAACCATGTAAATTAAACAAACCTCTCAAAAATTCCATATATCTATTAATTTTACTTACGTTTAAGTACAACACGTTTAATATTCGACCGCATTATTTACATTGAGAATAGGTATTGGTTAGAAAAAATTTTTTTTTCCAATGTTACGTTGACCGTGTAAAAGATTGATCAATGTTTACAATGCATACACAAAAATCCTTAGTAACAAAACGTCGCCGGTTTCGTGTAAAACCATAATAATATTATTATTATGTACGATTAATGTCACGCAGTCTTGTAAAGTATTCGAATACAAGTATTTGAATACTTGTATTTAAATACTTTTTGAAGTATTTATATGGTATTCTAAATAACATTTTTTTTATGTATTTTTTAAGTATTTTGAATACTTTTTAATTGTATTTTTACCAAAATTTAAATGTATTAAAATACCATTAAGTCCGTTTTATTAATTTTAATTTATTATTTTTCAAAAAAAAATTGACATCAATAAAAATAATATTGTTTTCTTTGAAAACTAATATTATGTTTTTGTATAGTTAAGCTAGGTACCTAATAACAATGTTACCACACTAAATACCACATTAAAATTTATATAGTTTCTGTATTGGAATTTTTTAAGAAAACTGAAAATTAAATAATCTTAAAATAGTTCCATATTAATAGTAAGTTAATACCACTTTTTATTTTATTTTTTTCATTAAAATTTAATCAATATTAGTTGAAATATATTTGATATATTTGAATGCATAATGAAATATGTGAACATGTAATTTATCTCTTTATAGTCTGCAGACATGTTATAGGTAGTAATTGTTAAAATCTATGGAAAGTAGTAACATAATAGGTAGGTATCTATATACTGGTGTATAATATACATATATAATATTATATGTAGCATAAAATTAAAAAAATACTTGTATTTGTATTCAAATACTTTGTGAGTAGTCGTAGAATACATTTTTATAATAGTATTTTAAAAGTATTTTTAATACTTTTTTATTCGAATACAAGTATTAGTATCTTAATACTTTATCAAAAGTATTTTATACAAGACTTAAGTCACGGTCCCAACCATGGGTTTCTTACATTGTAATCTACACTATTTACATCAGCAGTATTATAGGGTAGATAGATGCCCACATCGAAGTGGTTAAAGTAATTTTCCCGGGAAGCTATTTATCTCGTGTCTACGTATTTATGTGTGTATAAGGTATAGCTGGTAGATATAGCCCCCGTAAAGGTGGTAGGAGGTAACCATAATAATAATAATAATAATATTACATATAATATGAGACCTTCTCGGTGAACATTAAATATACATTAAATATTCTACCCACGGTCACAGGTATCGCGATAAAAATAAGGTCTCGTTTCGACGTTTCTATATTATGCAAAAGAGATTGCATTTGCATTATTTTCGTCAAAACATTTATAATGGCTTATGAATTTATGATGCAAATGTACAATTATATTAGGTATAGACTATAATATATTATAATCAAGAATCAGTTAGGTACCTACTTACTTATAAGGTATTATTTTTATTATGATAGGTACCCATCTACAAACTACAATACTTATATCTGTTGACTGTTATTGGTAGGCACTAGGCAGGTACCATTATTTTATTAATTTCATAATATATTGCATCAAAGCTCCCAATAACCTATTTTAATTTACCTATTGCAAACTGCAAAACAAAAAAAAAAAAGATGCTCTGCTGTACAGTTGTAGGTTACAAGTGGGTCACTGTATAATGGATAGTATTAAATTTGCATTCAATGATATAATATCATTTGTATAAGAAAAACGATTCTGAGCGGAGACGGTATGTCAGTCTAGGTATAAGAAATATTATATACTATGTACTTATCTATGGTATTAAAAAAAATTGACCAATTATAGGTACCTATAATAAATTCCAAATTAATCATATCACAATATCCATTAGGTACTTATAACGCGTTATACATCAACAACAAACCCTGATACTATCATAGGAATATAATGGTGTACTTTAGAAATTTCAAGTACCCACGAATAATATTATACAATCACAACAAAATAACTAAAATATTTATTCTAGGTTTTTTAATATGTAATTTCATCCAAATTTGAACTTAAAATGACTATAGAAATAAACTGTGCTTCTGTATTTTTTAGATTTTTTGGTGACAGAATTAACTACTTACGTGGAATCTTGTTTTAAATTTTCAATCCATAGATAAAGAAGTTGAACATTTTATAAATTTTTAACTACAAAAAAATTATTCAATTTTAAATTTGATAAATTTTGCTTATGTATTTTTAATATTTTTCAACTGATATTGTAACAATATCAGGAGCCTTGTATTAAATTTTAACACTTTTTGGCCCAACAGATAAAACTTTATTAATATATATAGAAAAAAAACTAAAAAAATTGAAAACTGAAAATGTCCGTAAACAGCTCAAAAAGATTCAAAATATTTTCAAACTTGTATGGTGTATAGGAAATGCTGATATAAACATTCAGTGAAATTTTCATGTCTCTACAGTTATTCGTTTTTGAATTACAACAAAATAAGGAAATCGCTACATGAGAAATCGAGTGAATATATCCAATATTGTAAAAATTTGAATTTCAAACGCTCATAAAAATTTAATTTGACTTTCTTATCGACATTTATATCTTGATAAAGGTAGACAATCTTATGAGGAATCTTGTATCACATTTTAAAATCTTAGATTTAAAAAGAGAAATTTTTACGAATTCTTAACTTAAAATAATTTGCTAATTTTCGGGATCTTTCCATATTTTGTCAATTTTTGGTCTTTAAATACTTATAAAAAAAAAACTGTGACTATGGATTTTTAATATTTTTCAAATGCCATTGTAACAATATAGTAGGAGCCTTGTATTAAATTTTCAAGCTTTTTTAACCAACAAATAAAATGTTATTGATATTTTTAGAAAAAAAACTAAAAAAAAACTAAAAAAAAACTAAAAAAAAATGGAAAATGAAAATGCGCCTAAACAGTTCAAAATAAATCAAAATATTTTGAAAATGTTATCGTATATAGGAAATGCTAATACAAACATTCAATCAAAATTGCATGTACCTACGGTCATTTGTTTTAGAGTTGCACCTAAAACCAAAATCGATTTTTTTGAAAACAGATTTTAGTGTAAAAATTCCCGTTTTTTCTTAATTTTTATTTTGTTTTTCACGCCGCTTTTGAAAACTACTGAGAAATTTTCACTTTTGACCCCCCCCCCCCAAGTACCAACTAGATTCACTTTCCTATCAGAAAAGCTACTGTTGAAGAAAATCCAAGCACTTTTACTATCCTAAAACGTGATGACAGACACAAAAAAATAATTTTTAAAAAAACACACATCATTGTAAAATCAATACATTCATCGTTTCACTCAGAATCTAAAAAGAATAAAGGAAACTACGTGGATGGTTGTATTTTCCTGGACTTGAAATTAGAACTACATATTTCGATTTAAATTCAAATTTTTAATTGAGTTTTGAGCATTTTCATAATATATAGTAGGCTACTTATAACAAGTTTTCCCAATGATTATACAGAAAGAATATAATTTAGAATGTAAAAGTCAACAATTTATATACCTACTTCTTAACTCCTAGTAACACAAATTATATTTTTACAAACAAAAAGCTATAAGTACCAATTACCTGGTCTACAAAAAGTTGAAATGATGCCCCTGGGATTTTCGTGAATAATACATTATATTCTATTAAATCAGTTTATTTTCGGGGCCACTTGTAAGTTTTAACGAATCCCATTCCCAAAATTCAGTTTCTGTATACAGAGTAGGTTAATTTTTTAACGATGAATCACGCGTGTATTTGGTTGTAGATAATATTTTTAATTCATATTGCCTACATTGTAGACGATAAGGAGGGTGATTTTTTAACATTCATTATTTAATCTTTAAAAATATAATTTATAATTTATATTAGATAGGTATATTGAAAATAAAGGTCATGGGGGGACTATCCCCTCATCTACTCAACTGTTTGATCACCACTGATGGTACCTATCTCGTGTCTGGTCACTGTCTGCTGTGATTTAAAATAAGAATATAATACCTTTTATAGCTACCTACCTAATATATTATTATCAAAATATTACCACTTTCAATAAATTCAAAACTGACAAGTAATAGTGTAATACCATCGGCTTCAATTGCCACATTATGGGTTTATGGTTACATTATGACTATGACATTAAATAAGTTGTTTACCATGCAGTTTTCATAAAATTCATAGAAAAATTATTTAACATAAGACATAGCAAACATGAATGTAGGTAGATTCAAGATTGCCGCCTATTGGTTTTTAGGGATAACTATAGTCAACAACTACCTCCTGTTCAATGTACCTAAGCAGACCATTCCCACCCATTATTTATTACGATGAGCCTATTATAGTGGCTTTATGTCAAGCTTATTATTTAACTACAGTAAAACCAACTTATGAGGAATTTTGAGTTCTGTTTTCTAGTCTTAGGGACCTATAAAAATTTAAAACTAAACATTTATTGGATTTTAATGTTAACTACTAGTTAAATTTTAACTATTGAACATCTTTGTAATAATAATTTTTAGGTAGGTACTTTAGATCCTATAAAAATCTTTCCAATTATTTATCTGAAATAGAATAATTAATACTATTGAATATTATACAAAATAGTTTATAACATTCTTACATTTTAAAAGACAAATTTTGATAAGTGAATGTCCAAATTTGTTCAAAAATTATTAGTAGGTAGGATTGAAATAAGACAAGACAAAAGTCAATAAGAAATCCAACCTTGTTTTCAAAATCCATATTCCGTACCAATTTGATCAATCACTAAATTTCAGTACCTACATGGGATGAAAATCTTTTTTAAAAATAACAGTCTGTTTTGAATAGCTTCAAGTGTTATTTAAAATGTCCTTCCACAGTACCGCCGGGTGCCAAATGTCGTATTCTTCGGGTGCAAGCACAGTTGCAGACCAAACAAACACCAACATATTTCAACTTCATATTAGTTCATTATTAATGTAATGAATCATTACAGTACAACATTAT